AGCTTCTGCGATTTAAACAATATTTTAGATGTCAAAAATTAGCAATTGGCAAATCTAATGAAGGCTAAATGCTTGTGTGCGAGTAAGTATCTGCACATTAGCTTGTGGGATTTGGTCATTCCTTATTGAACAAAAAGGTACTTGTAAACTATTATAATAAACTTGTCAAGTTGGATGAAAACAAAATGTATGTGGAAGATGTATTCTAGAGCGAATTTCAAGTGTGAGGATATAGTCCACTTGAAAAGTTGAGAGAAAAAATTGCCATTGCTTGTAGATTTTGATTGTAAACCAACCATTATATTCAAGGAAATGTCAATTATTGAAGAAGAGCATAAAGAAGATGACAAATTAATTACAAAGAAATCAAGTGAAGATGGGGCAATTATTGAAGATGAAATTAACACACATTTCTTTCAACTTTATCAATCACCAAACAATTGAATTTGTGATTAAACTCGACGAGGAGATAGAAGTCTACATGATTGGTTTCGAATCGGATGGAATTCTATAAAAAAGTGGCTTTAGGCATGGATTTTACCTATAGTGATTCCGTTGTTGATTACCATAGTTGAAAGTAGATTATTTTTACCAATGGACAATCCGTTGGTAAAGAGATATCACCTTTAGTAATAGCAATTCTGTTGCTAATTACTGTAGTTTAAAGTGTATTGCTTTTATCAACGGATAAGTGATAGTTATCTGTACATCACCTACGAAATATCTATAAGTGAAAGATCTAAATGTCAAACGACTACATTAAACACAAAATATTTGTTAGTAAATTTGATGTTTATTTACCAATGGAAATTCCATTGCTGATTATCGCAGGTGAAAGTGGATTATTTTTGCAATGGATTATCTGTTGGTAATTTTTCATCGATGACAAGCTATTTTTTAGTAGTAGAATAGGTGAATCATATCACATTGAAGGAGACAAAGTAAAAAGATTTGGAAAAACAAAGGAAAGCTTATCAAAGTCAAAAGTAGCAAACTCAGCAAAACATCAAAAGCTTTCTTCATAATTTAATGATGCAGATTGCCAAAGTCAAGCTAACGAATATAAATAAGCACTTATTTGGAGGCAATCCAATTTCTTTTCCAATTGTATTTATTTTGTGTTTCATAATATAAGATTAGTAAATTTCATTGCTTTTAGTAATTTAGCAAATATTATGCTTTTAGAACTTTATTAATTACGATTCTTTTAGTAGTATAGGGTATTTTCATCCCCATATTTTCCTTTAGGATGTGTTAGACCTTATTACAGAGTTTTCCATATTATGATTTATTTTTATTTACTTTGAAGGAACATAACACTTGAACACATTGGAAAAGAAAAATAACATAGCAAGTGATTCATCCACCGACTACAAATTTATATCAGGAGAGCACTTAATACTCTTATTTGCCTTAATTTTTATATATTGCTTTTAATATTTTTTGATATTGAGGGTAATGTCTGTTATAAGTTTCGGGGTGAAAAAATTATTGAGTTTTTTTTGTTTTACTATTTTGTATGGTTGTTCGCATGCAAAAGAAAAATTAAAAAATTTATTTACTTTCATCTTTATATTTGGTTTTGTGTGCTTGTGTGAGTTAAATAAATCTGTCTATTATGATGCATATATTTGGCATCATGTTTAAGATTTTAAATTGTGAAAAGTTGCTTATAGGGGTTGATATATGTTTGTTTATGTGAAACTTGATATTCTTGTACACAAGATTTATGTTTGCAGCATAAATGATTAATTTGAATCAAAATTTTGAATAAGTTGAATATATATATATATATATCCTGAAATACTGAATCCAAACATCTACTACATTATACAATCTTGAACAAATTCTAGGACAGATTTGGAGTGATTGAATTGTTATATGGAAACATAAAGATGAATGTGGAAAATTTTGTGGGAATTGTCTAATGCTTACAAGATGAAAGCTTGGTGAAAATATAATGAGAATGTGTATTTAATAAGGAGCATTGCACGAATCATTGCATGAAAAAAAAAGAGGAAAAAAGTTATCTCATTCATAGCATTTACGACATGAGCGATTAAATCTGCAAGAGCATCTCAATTTTGGTGCCCTATATTCATTTGACTCGAAAAGTCTGTACATAGGAGTAAAAATATAAGATGCATGAAACAGAAGATACATCCTGCCTTGATTAAGCCCCCACACACTTATTTGGGAGAATTAGGGATTTTACAAGTGATAATTGGTTTAGCTGATTCTTGGAGGTTGAAACAATCAAAGATAAGAAGAATCCTCATTTTTTGATACGTTGAGTGGCAACTAATAAAATCTAATCAAACTAGAAATGGTGAGGATGAAAGGAAACAAGTTAAAAAAAAAAAAAAAAAAAAAATAAAACACAAAAACAAAACTTGGGAAAAAAGTAAAAAAAAAAAAAAAAAAAAAAAAAAACAGTTTTGAGGTGTGACTCTTATGAGTGAAGAAAGAAAATATCTAATTTTTGAGGGTTGGGAATTTAATCACTTTATAAATTTATGATGCTTGACATGAATTCTCACTCTTCATAAATTTTGCATTGATTAAGTAAAAGTTAATTTTGATAATGAGATTTTGAAGCAGTTTATAATTGTGATACAACAAATAATTTTGAAGCAGTTTAAGAATATTTTAGTTGAGTTCTATATTGTTTGGGGGACAAATAATTGTTCAAGTTTGGGGTATTTGATAAGTTTATTTCATACACTCATTATAATTTGGTTTTAAAATTTCTCACAAGTCTTCTAAATCGAACCGTGTTCAACTCTAGTGTGACATATACACGTGGGCCGAGATTGTTTCAACAGCATTTGACAATGCAAGCCACGTGTTCCCCTCTAATTCTAAAGCTATGCTTGGTACTAGGTGAAATTCGAAGAATGAGAGAACTGTTTCATTTTGAAAATTATTAGACACAATAACAATTGGATAGAATTAGACAATTTTTGTTTAAGATTATTTTTTCCCCTCATATAATATAATTTAATTTTGTTGATGTAATAGTTGTGATTATGGGGGACGATTGGACATATAATGAGCACCATGTGGGAGAGTAAGAAGAATTACATTTGTATCTTATTTGATGACAAATATTCCAATTAAAAAAGTTATATTTCGATTTAGATATGATGGACCAAACAAATAAAAGACATATTAAGTGTAGAAAGGAGAAAATATATGCTTAAGGTAATGTTTACCTGCACTTTTTCTTTCATAATATGACAAAAATAAATAATATAAATAAACACTTCATTGTTATATTTTGTTATGGGAATACTTTCATAAATATTAAAAATAGTTTATTAGCTTTTTTTCTTTATGTTTATTAATTAATTGAAAGACATGTCATTATAGGACGGGCTTGCATCACTATAATGGGAACTGATGGTATATAAATGCCTAAAACTATAACGATGTGAGTTTAGTTTAACATGATGATAAAGTACGTTAACATCTTTAAAAAATCTAAGATGGAATTACAAGTCTAAGGAGTGCACTAAACTTGCACTATAAATTTTTATTTCAATTTGAAATTTTTGTCATACAAACAATTTTTCTAGCATTCTGAATAGTTTAAAAGAGTATGCATGAATGCTTATCTATAAATAATATACGGTAATCTACATGTAACTTTGTCAAGTTGGACAAGAATTTCAAAATTTTAATTGTTTTCTCACTTCAAGTCATTAATCTCATGTGTCACATCATTTCTATTCAATTTTCATAATGCTATTAGATGGAGCAAAGAAAGTAGAAATCTTACTTTTTAGCCACATTTTGAAGTAGACTGAAGTTACTTATTTGAAAACAACCTTTTTAAAGTTGATTTTTATGTCCAACAAACACAACGAAACACGTAGTATAGAAAAATGGGCACAAATTGAAAATATAGTACAAAACATGGATGCAGAAAATGAAATTTTACAAAAGAGACTTCAGCTAGAAACATACTAATCTAAGACAACAAGAAAGGTTGAGGAACATTCTTACAAGAAATATTATTAGGATCCTCCATCAAACCAATTTCAGAATCCCAATAATATTATAATTATCTATTCAAAGCATCTATAACTTAAATCATATCAGCTGCTATGCTATTCTAAGCAAAACTACTAAAAGAAATATTTATCCAGCTCGGGACATCTCATTTAAATTCTGAAAGAGAGGCAATTAGGTGAAGATGGAGCTCAAATACTGTGAATGAGTCTATCCTTGAAATGGGAATTAATGTGCCATTGGCATGCAACCAAAACCAGACCTATAGATTTCTTGAAGAGGCAAATATATCGTCACTGGCCTTCTCATGCATCATTGAGTCACTTGCAAGATTAGACGCAACATATATTTCACAATTAGCACTTTCATCGTAATTTCATTTTTCGACTTTCTCACTGGAACTTGTGGTGGGATCTTGAGGAGAATTGACCTTTTTCAATAGAGATTTCTCATCCAAAATGGTCGTACTTTGGGTGTCACTAAGTAAATCTTGTTTAATGTGTTCCATTACATCCCAAAATTCTGGTGTCTTGTCTGAAGGCACAAATCCAAAAGTTACTTGTTCTAAAATACTGCTTCCAATGTGGTTTTCTAGATCACCTATCGACATGGATAGATGGAGATCTGGCACCTTAAGTTGTTCCCAGCTTCTTTGCTGCAAATAACCATGCCCTTCACAAGTTCCATTCTGTTCAATCGCACCTATAGCCATCACTAGTAACAGTAGACAATGTGATTAGTCAAATTTTGGTCGAAAATGAATTCAAATTACGACTACAACTAAATAATTTGCAAGATCAACATTCAGCAACACATGCTATGTGGAGAAAAGCTGATAAGTAAATTGTTACTAAAAATGAGTGCTTAGATTTTGTTATGTTAATAGTAATTACTCAAAACTCAGCTTCACTAGCGATGTTGTATTCACAATGAAGATAAGCAATACTGCACCTGAGCTGGAAGACAATGTTTTTTTCAGCACGTGTCTAGCAGTCACAAGATATCTGTCCGGAAATTAAAGGAGGTGATTGTGTGGTAGTTGCTAATTCTACATCCTGGAAGCTAGAGGGAGAATATCCTTGAGCGGCAACCACTTGATCAAATTCACGACCTCTGAATTCTTCTGGATATTCAAAAGTAGGAGCATGTGCTTCAAAATATGGCAAATCCATAACTATCTCGAGTTGTTGGCTCAAAATATAAAGACGCCTGTCACACTGGATCAACTTTTCATAGTTCTCGTTTAACACACCTGGAGAGCATTGTAGAAAATGCTTCCTGTTCAAAAACATCAAAGGTTCGGTCATTCAATAACAACGACCAAAATTTTCGGGATCTCAAGATTATTCAGAAAAGTAATTATAAGGACTATAGTAGAAACCTAACTGTTTTAACAAGAAACTTCAATTGAATGAAAAACATATCTATGAAAGAAAACGCTATCACTTACCTATTTTTGCTAGCTTCCCCACAGTTGAATTCAGAAGTTGGCTTCCAAATAGTACATTTTCTCGGTTGTGGATTGGTCTCTTTGAAGAAGATGGGTAGCCTAGCCAACTGCACCAACACAAGATTAAAGGTAAAGTAAAATGAGAAGGCACCTTTAAATGGTTGTTGGAATACATTTTATCCATAGAATGGGAAAAGATAAAACAATTACCACTATAGTTAATGTGCCATGGCCATTATCACTATAAGTTGCCTTCAGAGCTATAATATCAGACCACAGAATTTCAATTTTTCTCTTGAGACCACCTTCAAGAACCTCCCACACAAGTTTTTGCTTTGCAAAGTAACACTTCGCCACCAGACCGTTTTGAAAAATTGACACATACTGCCAAAGATATTATATATGTAACATACTATAGGCATAACACACATCTAAGTGTAACTATTCACTTATAGAAGATTCTTCCTACGGTTAGATATCACATTTGTTTTTCCCCTAAAAGTTCATTCAGTTAGGATTAGTACATGTTTGTGAGAGACTGTAATTGCTTATAAGCAATGGGTCCCAGATGATAAATGGTGAAAAGATACGTTAAAGTTATGAATCATATAGAATGTGTGCATAAAAATAGAGTTCAACCAATTTATAAGTAATTGTAAGCTTTGAGAAACATGCACTTAATCTAGTCAACTCATTGCATGTACATTTTAGTTGACCGCGGGAAACTCTAGGTTCTTAGCTTAAGGAGTATGATTTTGAAATTAAAAAAAAAAAAAAAAATTTATCATTGCAACGCTATGTTTCAATTAAGTTGATTTGTTCCCTAAAATTGATTTCATACTAATCACCCCTGACTGGTTAATGAAATGCATTCTTGAAATACGATCCTCTGACTATGATATAATGTCAAAAGTGGATACCTGCCAATTGCCAATCCTCAATAGTGAAGCTGAAAAATTTGAAGCCTTCAACTTGTCATTTGCACCTGAAGTGGTAGTTCTCCTTGCATCTTTTTGGGTTGGCGAGTTGAGATTTTTACTAGATTTCATAGTAACAGAAGCATTATTTTCTTCAGAGAGCCTGTTCTCGATCAATTCTAACAAAGATTGAGTCTTGTTCAACCGCAAGCCCAAAGGACTAGGCTCATCAAGTGGATTGCACTCGACGATGGCATTGAAGATTCATGGTCCTCAGAGCTCCACTGTCATAGAAAAGCCAAAAAATTTTAAAAAGGAAAAAATAACAAACAGAACAGATTTTATTAGATTGAGAAGTCATAAAAAATAGAAATAGAAATAAAAAATAGATAATGAAGATTCTTAAGTGTCATAAAAAATAGAAATATCAAGCAAGCTAATTCAAGGACATCATTGATTATCCTTTACAATTGTCGTTAACTGCATGTATTTCTTTCCACGATAGATGCTCTCAACAGAACCGCTAAAATGAACTGCATAACTTATTTAATACTAGACACATATCAAAGGTGTAACACTTGTGAATTTAAAATAAATTAAAGCGTACACATGTTCACCTACACCTTATTCCCCACGACTTGACTTAAATGCGGAAACTAAAAGTTTACATATTCTAGTCAGTGGTTGCCAATACAATCATCGACTATGGGTGTCATTGATGATCCTCAAAGCACCTCAGTCATCACTTATGGATCTTCACGCTAGCGATCAACAACCGAAGCACTATCGGTGGCTGTTGGTGATGGTCAAGTTTAATACAAGGAAGAAATGGTATACAAAATAGATTTTATTACTGAAAAGTCGATTTCAATATAAGAAAAATTCATAAAATTTTCAATATAAATACGGATCTAAGCCAACTAATTCAAGGGTATCTTTGATCATTCTTTATAATTGTCGTTTAGTGCACTAGTTGTTGCTACAATAGATGCCCTCAACTCAACCGCTAACATGAAGCACTACTTATTTAATACAAGACTCACTAAGTGTAACACCTATAATGAAATAAATCAAAGTATACACATGTACAGATACCCTCATTCCCACCACTTATCCAAAATGTAGAAACAAAATGTTTCCATATTCATGTCAGTGATTGTCGATAAAAATCACTCATCGGTGATCACCAATGCTCTTAAGTGATTACTTAAGCTTTTTTTCGGTTATCAAAAACTGAATCGCTGTTAATGGTTGCCAACAATGTCATCAATGTACCTTGGTCATCGTGGTCGGAGGATCATTGGTGGTGATCATTTTGTCCATTAACTTTTTATTATTTTTTTCGCAAGGACTCCACAACCATCTTATCTAAGACTACTAAATTTGATAGCAGAAGCCAATTTTTAAAACAATACTTCTTAGAAGATCTTTAATTTTCTCATTGTTGTTATACCACTTTTTACTTCTGCTTTTATTATTATTATTATTTTAAAGAACACAATAGGAAAACAATCCACCAAAAATTTAAAATAATATCACTGGGTTTCTCCCAATAACTAAAAAATATAGAATGCCTAAATCGAACTGAGGTTTGCGGTGGTGGAGGAACTGGATCTTAAAAAAGAGTTACTAATTGTAAAGCTCGGTTAGAAGATAACAGACAATAACATTGACTAAACACCCAAAATCAACTATGAAAAAACTGATTAAAAAACTTCAAAAAGCCACCAAAAAGACAAAAACCAAAGTTGGTTGACAACAGATGGTGATGGATTTTGTGAAGAGCGAGATCGTTTAATGAGACGCCATACTCTCCTTTTGACGACTTATCCATGTTCATTGCACTTGTATTGCTTCCACTAAAAGGTATAGTTTCAAAACACTTCACCAGCTGAACCATGCAATTCAACCAACCAAAAAATAAAATAAAAATTATTCTTTCAGTGAAATGCAAAATTTTTTATTGTAACTAAAAATTCCAACAACGCATCTAGTGTAAAACTATTTCTTCAAAAACCCAGGTTGCAACATTGTTAAAGAAATCTACATTTGCGTAGAGAGAGATTTTTCACTGAATAGCAGCCATACATGTAACTGTGAGCTTTTTCCTGGAATTGAAGTCCAAAATTAACATTTGTACGAGCAAATATATAGACTCGGGAAATGCTTTACGCTGGGTTTATCATGAAATAACCAAGTTACCCGTGTTTTGGATGCCCACGTGGCTTTACCCACATACGGACTTTAAATTGGTAATAAATGGTTTTGTTGCATTAGTTTAATCCTAATTGGTTGGTATAAATTTTCATTACCTACTTTTTAATACTAATTGAAACAATTGAATTACATGTCAACAAATTTTATTCCTACGATTAAGTTATAATTTAAGAGATTCTTGTCTCTATTTAATATTTATAACAAACATTTTATACATTATAAATAATATCTTTAAACGGACTTTTATACACTTTTTAACATTCTCTATTTTGACACTTTGATTTGTATTTTTGAAGAAATATTAATCAATTTTTGCTCATATTTTATTTAACATATTTTTTTATATGTCAATGATCAATTAATTTAAGCTCATATTTGGTTAGGCTAGAAAATTAATTAAATTTGAGTCAAATATACTAAAAATCTAATTTTTATCTAAACCAAACAAAAGCTAAATGTGATTTGAATAATATAAAAAGTATAGGATTAAAATATGTTGCTCATTAAATGCAATTATTGTAACTCACTTTCTATTTTAACATTCTTTTAAAAAAATTAAAATATAATCTTTTGGAGTTTATTTTTAAGTATTGACTTTCTAAAATAGAGAACGTGTTGTATTTAGTACCATTTACAGAGTCTCTTGCAGATGTTCGAATAAGGTGTTTTGACTTAATCATCCTTAGTGGAAGTGATATAGAGGTAAAATATGAACTACATTAATAATGAATTAATGAAGCATGTCAAGTTGAGTTTATTTTAAACTTGATTCCTACACCATAGTGCCTCTTCTTGTGTTTTGATGTCTAATCTGGAGATACGTACCTTGTCGACGATGATGTTTACGACATGAAAGTCCTATAGGCAGCTTTGCAGGAGGGTGAACAAAAATTTACCCAGAAATTTTAGGCTAGATTTGATAGTCAATTACCCAAATTGAGGGTGCTTGTGGAATCGAAAGGACTCCCCCCTTAATGGGTCACAGTCAAAGAGTTCTATGGATGCATGAATTCGGGAATAACCATGACATTCATATAATGACTACTATCATGATTTTTTCTCACAGATATACAGATCATAAACAAACAATAAAGGATGAGCACGGTATCTTCCAATGAAGATTTAATATCTATTGTACTTTAATTAAAAATAACCCTAATAAAACACAGATTTAAGAAGTTGGTTTTGTGTTTTAGTTTTTCTAATTAACTACTAAATTAAGCAATTTCAAATGTACGAGTTTTGGTGACACTGGTGGTATGCGAAGGTATCTAATTGCCTGAAATTATTGTTGCAATTTTGCCTTATTAAATTGATTAATGATGAATGAAAATTAAACGAACAAACATAAAACACAAGAACACCGGGTTGTTCAGCCAAAAAGCGTAATTTTGAGAGGGGGGAGGGGGTGGGTTAAAAGATTCGCTCGTTCTACTAGTGCAACAAACAACCACATAAAGAGAGCAAAGTATATTGAACCAAATCAGAGCGAACTTTTTATTCCTAGATCCACAAGATCTCGTAAAACTAACCCTAATTTACAACCTATCAGACCAAAACGAGTTCTATACAGAATCATACGATTTATGTTTAAGATTTTGGTTTTATTCCTCATTTAATATGCCCTTGTTGGAGCCCCATTTTTCTAAAAATTTGATTTTTTTCAAAATTTATTTTCAAAAACACATGCTCCAGTAAAATAATATTACACGTAAATCTAAAACTTTTCAAAAATTTTAACCTCATATTCTCTATCATTCTTTTACTCCGAAAATGCACTCTTTCTCCCAAAATAGGGCTCAATCAAGGGCATAACTTTATTTTATCAAAGTAATGTTGTGATTAGATGATTTAAAATAGTTATAGGGAACCATGGACATATAATGAGCATCATGTGGGAGAGCAAGAAAAATTATATTTGTATTTTATTTGATGAAAAAATATTCGGATTAAAAAAGTTACATGGTCGATCTATAGACCTAACAAAAAGAAGATATAAAAACAATACACAGGAGAGGAAATTACATGCTGAAAGTTATTTTACTTGCATTTTTCTATCATGATATGACGAAAATCAATAATACAAATAAACACTGAATTGTTATATTTTGTTATGTAATCCTTTTCATAAATATTAAATATAGTTGTTGTGAGAAAGAAAGGAGCAGGGAGGCGGGCGCCATGGCGCCCAAGAGAAAGAAAAGGAACAGGGAGGCGCCCGACTCAGCTATATGTATATAGCTGTTTTTCCCTTCATTTGGAACCCGATTTTTGAGAGAAAATAGAGAGAGCTTGGATAAAATTTAACAAGTAAGAAATTGTTTTTCTTGGGTATAAATTCAAAGCTATTTTTCTTTCTTGGGGATTAACTTGAGGCTTGTTCAAGTAATCCAAATGCATTGTTCTTCATTTATATTGAAAATCATTTCTTCCCCAATTTCTTATCTTTGAAGTGGTTTGAGATTTTTCACATTGCAAGTTATCTTTCTTGGGCAATCTTGGGAGTGTTGTTTTCCCAAAAATTTGGTATCAGAGCTTCTTCTTAAATCAGATTGGTTAAGCTCCGATTTTTGGTGGGTGGCTTGAACTTTGTTGTGCACACAAGGTGTTTGTGAAAATTCCCAAGTAAACTTTGTTATTTTATTTCCGGTAAACAAGTAGATAAATCATGTCTACTAGAGGAATGGTGAAAATTGGGAAGTATGAGATAGAGAAATTCAATGGGAAGAATGACTTCTCATATTGGAGAATGCAAATGAGAAATTTGTTAATTTCTCAAAAGTTGCACAAGGCATTGGCGGGAAAGGAAAAGAAGCACATAGATATGTCTGACGAGGATTGGGAAGATCTAGATCTTGAGGCATGAGCGTCTATCATTCTATGTCTTGAAAGAGATGTTGCTTTCTTGGTTGATG